ATTCAATTAACTAAAATGTATTGCTCTATAAAATGTGTTCAAATACATTCTGTAAAAAAATGAAGTACGATATATTAAGCTATACAATACCTATGAATTAAAAAAATAATACATGATAATAATAATTTTAAATCATAAATTATCGCAATAATGAATAAGATTTTAAATTAATAATATTTTTTTTTTAGTGAAAACTCGCAAGCACAAGATGTTTAATGGCATTTAGAGATGAAATTATACTGTGAATTTCATTGGCAATGTGTATATTTGATCCACATGGGCGCGTATATTAATGTATTAATTATTATACTGCGCCTGCATAGACGTCTATAAAAAATGTTTCATTAGCTGTTTAACATTTGATACGGTTCAAAAAACCGTGCACATATGTTGTTTAACATATTCAGTTCATCACATGTTATTTTTGTGTAAGGAAAAAAATATGATTTGACATCAACTAATACGCATTTTTTTAAAACCGCATATACGATGAAAAAGTTATAAGAACTGAACATGTATCTTGTGTGTGTGTGTGTGTGTGTGTGTGTATGTGTGTGTGTGTGTGCGTGTATCATTTAATATAATTTATACTTTATCCCGTTTTCCTTGTATTGTAGTTTTTACAATAATGATACATAAAAATGAATTTCTCCTATTGCCACACTCGTCTCTTTAATTGTTATGACCCTTCGGAGATAAACTCGCGTGTGGCTAGAGGGCCATTTGTTTAGATACTATACGGTCTGTAATAAACCATTAGTCATACTGCTGGACTATACAATGCACACGAAATATATTATTGTCGTATCGTTCAAATAAAAGAAAATTATACTTCTACATTTCGTAATTATCCGCTACATCGAAACGGTAGTGGTACCTAATGTTGTGTATATTATTTATTTTACTATAAAACCATTTTTTTTTTAACTGTAGGTACGTTAATCGCCTGAAATAAAAAATAAATAGTTCTTCAATATTTATGAAGGTATAAATTCATTCCACAGTAATGATTTATTTATTATATTGAGGTTGATTGCTTTTAATTTAAAATGTGTTTATTATTATCGATTAAATTGAATATTAAAAGAAAATAACTATTGTTCTATTCGCAATAATAGAATAATATAATTTAACTTATATAGTACACATTTTAGTACCTACATAATATATATTATATATATAAACATATTGTATCTGAACTATTAGAACTCTTATCAAACAGTAAATTCGCTAACGATCACGTTCACGTGCAATATAATATTAAAATATTTTTATATTTTTCATAAACTGCAATATAATTTCCCCGATACTCATACGGTGAACGTAGTAATTTTTAATCGGAAGTGTTTGTTATTCTTTATTCTATAATTATTGTACAATAATAACAATGCTAATGCAAATATGTTTTATTTGATTTGATTTTTCTCTACAAATAAACGTATTCAGATAACGAATGAAATGCGTTTTTGCCTAGGCGATAAAACGCCATATCGTTCACGGTTTATCTGCTTGCATCCATTATAAGTAAGTCAATGAATAACACGCAAACTGACATTATTACCTGTAGTCTTTAGACTATACAATAATGTAATATAATAATTTTGAATATTAATTACTAATAGCATATAAACAGCTACAAGGATGATTCACTAAATACGTTAGCCCTATTTTTCTTGTTCAATAATGCAGTTAATTAAAATTAGAAAAATCTTAAGAATTTTTAAATTTTAATAACTAATAACTGGTTGTTCAAATTTTAAATTATAAGCACATCAACAGTTTCAAAACAAATAATCTGTTTAATAAATAATAATATACAGTAGAAAACAAAAGTTTTTTTTTATGAAAAATAAAGGTATGCAACGCCAAAGCTCATAGATTACTACCTAATAAGTAGCACAAAAAATTTCAAGAATTCAAAATGATCTTTATGTAGATTTAAAAAATTCAAAATTTAAAATATAAATAATTGCGTTTTTGAAAAAGAAAAAAAGAGGTGAGCGTACTCGGTGAATCACTCTGTATAATATACGCATGGATGAAGCTATACCATAATAATATTATTACATTTGAATACACTATACTCGCACGCAACACAATGGATTTGCATGTGCCAACATTAAAATACTGACGTAAGATTTTGCTAAAATATTATATCGTGGAACCAGGATCGCAAGCGACGAAACTCGGTAATGTCGACCACGGTTGTTCATAACTAGACCCTCAAAACTAGGTACTTTAGTTGTTAAAAAACATAATTTCGTTCTATACCGTGTATAGATAATATTTAATAATATAACTCCCAGTGTTTTTGGTAATTATATTAATTATAGTACGACCGACGAGGCTACAACGACGCTGTAATTACAGTTGATCTTATTCGATTTATTTCACATAAATTTCGGACAACTGTGTTTAAAATCATATGTGTAAATCATATATTGTACTCCACATCTATCTGCACGCTCGTAATTCGTAAACACAACTCAACAAATAAGTTTTTATTTATTTAAAAACTTCGAAATCAGATAATGTTCAGTCTATATATCAGATATATGTACCTATATCGTCGAATTGTTTAATTAGTGGATTGGTTATATGTCATAACTACAGTGGTATGTAGAACATTTTGGATTCTTAGTGGAGCAACTAATGTATTGATTTAACAATGATGTTTTTAGTTTTTTTTTTTTTGTAGATGAATAAGTTGCCAATATAATGCTTCAATTTTCTAAAATGGAGGTGATTTCAAATATAAAATTAGATCTACGTATTTTGTGTTTTAAAGAGGTCAAGCTTAAAAATCCCAGTACTTATTTTTATAATCGAGGAAAACAAACAAAAATTAAGAAAACACAAGAATTTTTACTCAAATCCAATTATTGAAAAACTCTAATAGCCGTAGAAACTTGAAATTTTCACTGAATTTTTATATTATCGTTTTCTATGTACGATAAAAAAATCAACCTACTATAATACTAAATTTAAAATAAATTACTTCAATGGATATATTATAAAATAAACATATCACTTAGCAATATAGGCTAATGGACCGTTCCTGCTCAAAAATCAGAATCGTTTAATGTATACAATTATATACGAGTATCATTGAATTCAAATTTAACATACCTATAATAGTGACCCACTCGATACCTGGTGTACAACAGAACGATACCTAGGTAGGAGATACCTACTTTTATTTTATTTTATTCTTAGAAATTGTTCACACTTACCACCGCCACTATCCTTTTATGATCAAATCAGTAGTACTATTTTGATTTCAGTATTTTTTACTTATTCTAACTGAAATTATTATTCAATTTAACGTAAGTAACTTGAATATTCTTGAGTAGTTTGAATAAGTCTACTTTATTGTAACTAACAGTAAAATAATGATATAACAATAGTTTTTAGTTTCTTGTCTTAAATTTGTGTTGTACTCTATCGCTCTCGTTCACATTACATAAATTGCATAAAATCTAAACAAATAATAAAAATGTCAAAATTATTGTGTTCCAAAAATTTTAATTCGTAGGAAGTGTTAAATGTTATTAAAGAATTTATATCTATTTAATAATAAATATTAAATGCAGGTGGTTAAGCTAACCTTAAGAGGCTAGAACTTAGAAACATAATATAATAATAACTATTTGTGATTTATAACATGATTAAAGCTGCCTAAAAGTATACTATAATTTGTATACAGTGAACTATAATTCATTTTTATTATTTATTACTTAATTTATTTCAAATTCGGTAAGAGAAAATCTTATGTATCTGACACCACCTTAAGGTCCATTTTTAATTACTCATTTGATGATTGGTTGAAACAAGCTTCAAAAATCAGAATTTGCCACATCACTAAAATACCTGATAAAAATATTTTCCAGTATGAGAGTATATAAGTATATGCAATTATTGATTTTTTTTTTTTTTAATGTTGGTTAACAATTTTTGTATAAATGTATAATTATATAATTAATACTTAACTCATACTGATCAAATTTTATTTGTACCCTCATACTCTCATATTTGCATGTTTACTGCTTTTGAGAAGACACGGTATCTTAGAATTACATATATGATCCAATATAAACACACAAGACTTTCAGTAAGTTTCAACGTTTCTACGATAGTTATAAATAATATATTTGTTGGTCAGCAAATTATGTGATGAGTTTTACGTTACAGATATTTTAAGCATTTCAATCGCATACACGCATACATATAATACAATTATTGTATGTCTGCTTATATATGTTTAGTTTATTAAAATATATGTACATAATACATTGATATAATACATAGTATAAATAACCATGATTTTTTTAATTTTACTACAGCACTTAGCAAACCTTACAAACTATATCATATTATAATTGTATAAGTATACAATAATAAAGTTAAAGTAAATTTTGTAATTATAACAATAATTTAGGTATTTAGTACAATATCTTTCAAAAATAATTTAAAAGATATTTGTGTACAAAAGAGGAATTAGCAGGTTAAATGCCTAGTTAATATTTTGTACTCTGTAGAGTGCAGACAGCTTAATGTAATTTTACGAATTTTATGAATTTATTGATATTATAATATACTTCAAATACTTAAACAAGTGTAATTATAATAATATACTTATAACATTATATAAAATAGGAAATACATTATGTATAATATATTATTCAGTATTCATCATTATTATTATATTTTAGAAATAAAGTAGTACAACATCGATTGTGAAACTATATAAAATATAAACTTTTCTTTTATCAATCCACACTTGCATGCAAATTTATAATATATGCATTATCAATTCAATTTATTTTAAGTATATCAATTGATTAAATTAATTTTTTTCCAAGATTTCAGTTTGAATTATGAACATTGAACGATAATTTTAAGTTATTTTACACGGCTTAACCCAAATTTTTTTATATTGAACTGTATTCTTTTATTTGCAGTAAAATATTATAGCGAATAATTAACGATAATTTATTGTTATGAAAATCATAATTATTTTACGTTTTGATGACATGTAGCATAAATTATTTGAATGGATTGCTTTTTTTGAGTTTAATTTGCGCTAAAAACTTCGACTCTGCCGACTAATTAATTCATTTAAAATGTACGGATAAGTTGGGTATATTCAATAAATTTTAATAATTTAACGAAGAACACACACATAGATAAACTTTCGACATATATAAAAAAATCGTAAATTTTTCTAATCATTTAATATTATAAAAACAGTTTTAAAAACTTAACACTAATATACAATATTATTTATCCAATTGGACAGAAATCTGCGGACATTGAGCAGGGAGATCCATCCACATATCTATTATATTTAGGCATGATACTTCGATTTGTTTCTACCACTAGTGTCACATGATATACTGGAAGACTAACGATAAAGTCCATCATAATGCCTACTCTGTTCGCAATTTTTATCTTTAATTATTTACAGTTTTTTCAAAATGTTTTTTACACTTTTTTTATGTGTTCTATAGTTTTCTACGCTTGGCGGTCGACTGAGAAATCTCGTATTTAAAGATTTAGTTTAGTTAGTATTATTTTTATGAAAACGAAAACAAACGTTCCGCGGAATTCAAAAATTCTGTCGATAACGATATCATCAAAACTAAAAAAAAAAACGTACAAAAATGCATAAAAATTAAACAACTACACTCATTAATGGAATACGATATTTATAAGCACGATCGATTGATAAAGTCTCACTCGTAATTAGCTACAAATTCTCTATGCTGTACACTATGTTTACATACACTCGCCGAAGCATTATTAAATGTATACCTAATAATAATAAATGTATAGTCTTTCGAATGGTTGTTTGAGCAAAATTCAACGTTTCGTTTATGAATATGATGATGCATATGCTTTTCAAAATAACTATTTACACCTAATAATAATATTATGATAATAGGTGTGTATTATACATATAATGAATGCTTTTAGAAAGTTAGCTATATCGATATATATATATATATAAAGTTTATTATGCATATTATTAGATAATAGTTATAATTTATTATTTACTCTAAAGATTGTGGTAGTTCATAAACTTGTAAAGTTATAACGTACCTATCCAATGGAAATGTCACATGATTCCGATGTCGGTATTATTGGTGTCCATGGTAAAATAAATTACTCAAAAACACGATTTTTAATCACCTATAATACTCGTTTTCAACTTATAAAATTTTTTTATTTTAATTTTTTCCATCTACTAGATTAATATACTTGTGTATAGTATCCGACCATCAATTAGCCATGATAAATACATCTATACAACTGCAGCCATCGTCTCCGTTCTGAGTGAGTATATTATAACTACAGTGCAACATGCAACGTAATACACAAATACGAAAAATACAAGCATAATATAAATAAATATAAATTTATGTATATTATGTACCTATATAAAATGCTCTTTGACCTCGAAACACGATCCCACTGTTCGTTATAAGACATATACATATATTCACGAATAATTCGTGCTCTGTGTGGTGTTTTGAATATTTGTTATTATTATTATTATTATTAATGCCAGCAATAAACGGCCATATCGAAACTTCAGGTAGAGGGGGTTTATCTTCCTTAAAAGGACCTCTTGATGCAGAATAATAATAATGATATATTTTGTTTAAAGAAAATATTGTAACATATTATATATATATATATATAAAAAAGCAAACATAGAGTATTAATTGGATATTAATTTAAATGATTCAAAGCTTACACTGAACAGATAGTTCTAATCGATATAATAATTTCTAAATCTTAAACCATTATTGTATTTGTATACGTGAAATATCTGACATATCAATGTAAACTCAAATTTAAAACAATTTCACTATAATTTTTTTTAACTTTTGCTGTACCTATTTAACAAACCATATATTATGTAAATTAATATGAGAATTTCTATACATCTGCGTATCATGTATATTTTAGCAATCAACAATCGTTATTTCAATTTCTATTATACATCGTGTTTCATCTCATTCTTACCAAATTGAATATCAATTATACATAATAGTTCTGATGTAAAAATCGTTCAATTAGTGCAAGTAACTTATTAAAATTGCTGTTAAATGCTTAACTAAAATGTTTGAAACAGAAAATCTGTACTCATACCTCAATTATAATAAGCCACCCTTATACGATTCGGATCCTAAGGATACAACAGCTCACTGCTTATCACAAATGGTTATGTAAAAATAAAAGCATAGCATTATTAAAAGAAAAAAGACAAATAACAAGATTATTTCAGCAGTAGGTATATACTATATCTCCTTCATAGCATTAGACAAAAAAAAACTTATTGAATATTTTGTGTATACTGGTTATTGTTAACCGAAAGTAGCGAGTGACAAATATTTTCACCCCCATGCTCTAAACATGATGAATAGTTTTCAAAATTAAATAGCTCAAGCTGTTCTATATATATATATATATACAACATACAATAACGACTTGAGTTTAAATGCGTTTATAATATCGTATCGTTAGAAAAGTATTAGATACTAAAAGTATTGATTACTCGAATAATATAATATGATTACGTGGATTATCGCAACACTATCCATATACACGATTTTTGATAGTTTTGATAAACATGTAATTTAAACATGAAAAAAAAAATGTATATATTGATTTCTATAAAATATCACACGATCAGCTTTTTTATTGCTAGTATATATATATATATGATGTAGAACACACATTTATACAATATTAATATTTTTCATGCGAAAACGAAATTCATTAGGATTTGTTACGTTTAATTTTCCCGTGTAAGAATATCTCCATGAACATAATAGTTGCATAAACACTATCATACAGTCATAATATTTAGTTATCATATACCTCTCATAGCATGAATTATTCGTCTATACGACGTGCGATTCTCTACGCTGCAGATTCTGCTCATTTATTATAATATTGTATTGACGTATTGTATTTAACATGATAATATTATAACACGCACGTGCGCTTAGCACGGGGTTTTTGGAGTGTCTGATTAGCAACGATTTGCGTACGTTAAAAAAAAAACCGTATCCACAACGCGTGCGCAGGTTAAAGCTATTTAAAGATACCACGTTCGCGGGGCTGAGAATAGGAAATAAAAATTTTTTTCACACGTAATTATTATCAAATTTTGTTAAATGCACTCAGACTTATTTAGATAACATTAATAATTAATAACGGATAGAACATAAAGTGTTCACCATTAACAAAAAATTTATATTATGTGGTTATATTCCGTCCTAATGATGCTATAGTATTACTTTTCATCCATAATAATATATTAGTTGTATAAAGCTCTCGTCACGACAGCTCAAAAAATCGAAAACATTAGGGGTTGGAGATTTAGGGGAGAGGGGGGAGGTATTAATTTTTAAATATTTTCGTCCCCTCCTTTTATTCTTATAAAAGAATAAAACTGCCACTGCAGCCGTCACGTTTGATGAGTAGTGCGACTGCAGCAGACACACGGCATTAACGGATAGCTCGAGGATGATATTTTATACTCGCGAATGCGACGGACGTGAATCGCATTATATCGTTTATTCGGTACACCTATAAACACTTATGTATTATCTACGTAAAATATTATGTACATATAATAAGCCTTCAGCAGGATTTCAACGAATATCTATAAAATAATACTCTAGTCGGCACCGTACGTGCGCTCGTAAAAGTCGATTTCGTGCGGCAGCGCTAGGTTGCTGCGGCGCCGGGGTATGCTAGACAGCTGGAAGTCGATAGGTTGCCGTTGGTCGTACAGCGAGGGTGCCTGGAATATTATGGCACACGTTCCTACTATGCAGGCCAAAGTGAACACCCACAGGAAGAACCGGTCGAACACCATCGAAACGTACTTCCAGTCTTCGATCACCTGAAGTATTCATAATTGTTATAGTATGCATAAGGTTATATGTTTAAATAAAACTAAAAATAATATTATATATTCTAACTATATATTTTGCCTCAGCCTAGAAAACATAATACAAAAATACAAAAAATATGAAAAATTATACGAGGGCCCCTGCAATGTATACCAGTGTTCTCAAACTTATATGTCATAGGCCTCCCTAAATTTAATGCGAAATTGTCAAGGTCCATTTAATCAAAATCATTAATTATTTTTTCTTAATTATATACTAAAATGACATAATAACTAAATAACCGAAAATATTTTTAAAAAAAAAATAAATATTTCACGGCCCACCTGTCATGTAGTCACGGCCCCCAGTTTGAGAAACACTGGTGTATACAGTAGTGAGTACCTTACGAAATCTAAAATTTATAGTACTTGTAATATCGACCAACGTACTCAATTGACTCCTGAGGTTTAACCCCACTCATCACATCACATATTTTTTTCCTCATCTGTATTGCCGTTAATTATTATACAATTTTATAGCATGCGTTTATATAAACAATTATAACTAGGGCCCGAGTTTTTATGTGGGTGCGTAATCGATCTTTACACTCCAATTTAGAATAAATTTGATTAAGTATATCGACAAAATACATAGATTCTAAATAGTGATTATTATTATTTTATTTTCAAATATCGTCTATAGAGTGTTTTGTAACGATACCAATTTCTTTTTTTTAACCGGGATTTCCTTTTTCCCTATAAATTGTTAAGTAAATGCATTTTTTTAAATATTGATGTACCTATCTAAATAGAAATTTGAAAAAAGAAATTTTTGAATTATTTAACTTTACATACTAACGATAAAACGAGAAATTCACGATAATATGTTTGAATGATAATGGGGGCTATAATGATTTGAAAATTGTATTAATTAATTAATTAATATATTAAAATTTTAAAATTTATAAAAACTATTTGAGTGATATATTGTATTATAAGTTCTATAATTAATAAGACATATAATTTGTGTCTTTTAAGCCTATTTTAAAGGATAGCACTAATCTTTATTCTAATTATACACATTTAAATAACTTAGAACATCGACATTTAAAATAAAATAATTAACTTCACAATTCAAAAAAAAAAAGTAGGTTTTCATTTAAAGAAAATAAGTTTATATTGCCACAGAATACACTTTAACTGTAAAAAAATTGAAGCAGAATAAATTCCACAAAAAGGAGACACCAGTTGGTGGTTAATTAGAAAAACCAATTAATTTAGAAAATTCTACAATTACCAAAATAAATATGATATAATATAAATATTCATTACTTATCTGGATCATGAAACCGGAATACATTGTTATCGAATATATTTTTTAAATTATGTCATTAATTTGATAGTATTTGTTATTAAATAAATATGGATAACATCAACTATTTCCAACAAATGGCCCGTAGTGTAAGAATAGGGAGTTGAATAAACGTATTTGTACTTATATGCGATGTAAACGAATTTAATTTGAAAACAAGTATTCCTTAAACACATTTAAAATTTTCGAAAATCAGGAGTGCAATAAGTTAACTATTAAAGGAAAAAATGGAAGTGGGATTGCTTGGTGAATCGCTTTGCTTATTTAAAATATAAAAATTTTACAAAAAATTATAAAAAATTTACGAATAAACCATCAAATTACAATAAAGTGTTACTATTGTATTATATGCTTTGTACATGTACTTATGCAAAATCATATCATATTTTATAATTGCTCATATGATTTTTGTGAGTATTAGATTAATAGATGCGTATATGAAATAAAGTTAAAAATAAAATTAATTTCAAAATCAGCACAGAATTTAAAAAATTGAATTTAAAATCGCTTTCAAAATGACTTAATTTTTTTTCCTGTTTAAACCAACAATAGAGGAGGCTCTATTTGAACAATATTATTTCTAATATAATGGCCTTAGCTAGATAATGAAAGTAATACGAGTGCCTTTTAGTTTTAATTAATCTCAATTCCAAAACATTTCGTGAGCATATTTCATACGATAATATACTGTACATAATAATATACGTGACAATCTAACATAAATTTAAATTATAAACATATTATTTTAACTGTTTAGTAATTATTAGGTGATCAATTTTTTCACACAATTTATAATTAATTTATTTTTTCATTTTAATAGGAAATTAAAATTAAATAGAAATTCTAGCTAATACTCGTATATTATATTATAGTAAAAAATAAATAAACATAAGAACCAGAAAAGATTATATAAAACTTATTATAGCTTTTCTGTGTGTTCGTTATAAAATAACATTTTCGATGTACATATACATTCTCTTAATATAACGAATATATAAGTTAATATAAGTACTCCAATTGTCTTATATAAGTTTTTTTCTTATATTTAAGACAGTGTATAAATAACAAGTGCATTAAGATTAATTATTTTATTTCAAATAATAAATTAAAGATAGATGAAGGGGAATCGGAATGCAATTAACTGTAAAACTTATACATAGTCATTTTTTTTTTAAATTACTGAAATATTCTACACTTCTATGAATATTATGGTTTTAATATCTAGTTCAATTATAGGTTTATATTATAATTTTTATTATGAAGGTAGAATGAAGATAAAGTATAGTATAGATATATTGATTAAATTTTTTTTATTTATACCTACAATGTATATTTGCATTTTTTTAATATAACTATTATTATTCAATTCACGCGTTTATATTATACAAACATTGAACAATTTGAAACTTAAAAAAATCATTAACCTATTTAAATATTGTATAATGTATAATTAAATTAATATTTGATTATTATATTCTATTCATTTACCTCTTTATCTTTGTCTGCGTCTTTGATATGTTGAGCAATATAACAGACCCCTTGCAAAGCCTTGAGTAGATCGGGGGACATTGTCTTTGGCATTACATTCTCCGCTAGAAAAATATAATAGTTATTTTTTATTAGTCGTTGTACGAGTATAAATGTAATTTTATATGCAAACTACGAGTTTATAATAGATTTTACAAACATAAAGTATTATCTATGTTATATTGTAGTATTTATAAATAATTTTCTGCCAATAGAGAGAAAATAAATAAATAAAACTATAGATAGATGTAGGTATATACTATTAAATATTCATTAAATCATTGTATAATGGCTTACGATAATTGTGAGGCTGTACTGTCTGAATTTTTTTGAAGGACCAGTGTCTCTGGGTCAAAGATGGAGGTTTTTGTTCTGTTCCGCCACTATCGCTTATACTGTCTCGACTGTGGATTTGAATAATAATATAAACTATTATATAAGTATTAACTATATTAAACACGGGACTGCACATCCGTCAAAATCAAGGCATTTACACGTTCAATGATTGGCAAAATGGTTTTAAAAGTACGCATATATTACGTATTACCTACATAATATATATATATATATATATGTAAACTAGATACCTGTAGTCCAGTTCGTTGAAGTAACCGGGTGAGCTTTGGAATCCGTCATTGGTCATCAGCGAATATGGTGGTCTTCGCATCATAAGTATCTGTGGCATCATGTGCAGAAACACGGTCCTCACCCAAGGTGACAGAGTGTGGGTTGATGGTGACCTTTGGGCAATTCAATTTGATTAAAAAATGCCCGACGTAATATTGTATATACATAAAAATAAGATCTGTACGATAAACGTACGCTTACCGGAAATGGATGTTTAACACGACAACAGTCATACCGATCGACATAGACACTAGGACCATAGTAAACAATAAGTACTTGCCAAGGAGTGGAACTGCGAGAGATGTTGGGGGGATGATCTCAGCTAGCAGCAAGAAGAACACTGTCAATGACACTAGTATATTACTGCACAAAGTCACCTGAAGATATATAATAAAAGAACGAAATAGTATCACAGTGATCATTCATGATATTAGAAGTAGATAAGTTATATTTTTAAAAATATTCAGCTAAATTGCTTTAACAGTTAACTCGTTATAAAGTGCATTTCTTCGTAAACTATATATTGTTTATAATTAATCGATAACACGTCATAAGTTATATTTTGTTAGTGTTCAAAAAATCAGTTATCCTTTTATTACGTTTTATATCTTTATTCAATATACTTGTTTAATATTTTAAGTGTATAATATGTTTTTATTTATTTAATTTGGTTTGTAAGAAAACTAAATATACATAAAGACCTCGGAATTTCAAATCTTTAAGACCACATAAAAACCTTGGCCGAAAGTTTCTTCATGTTTATCCACAAGTGACAAATCCACACATTCAATACATTACCATCTTAAAATAAGACCACCACTTCAACGCCGCCTTCAACATGGACGTTCTCATGACTTAATTACGTAAGGACCATTCTAGCGTTTAGTATTATTTCACTAACACTAACTATTTAATCATACTATTCTATTATGTTTAAAATTAATTTACTCGTCGCACTTAGTAAGCCAAAACATATATATTTATTATTACAGTTGGTTAACGCAAGCTAGGAATATCTTATTTTTAACAAAAAAAAAAACTTATTTAATTTATACTGAATAATTAATTAATGCATTATTATCTTAATCTGTCTAAAATAATAATTTCACGATTTGCAAAACAGTTCCCAGTATGTTTTATTTTTAGCAGCTAATCGTTATATCATAATATTATATATAAATTATACAAAGATATAGAATTTCTGATTAAAAAAAAAAATGTTTTTTCAAATTATTTGAAATACGTCTATAAAATTGTAATATTACCTTTTCACCAGAGTCAGATGGCAAATAGAACACCAACACTGTCATGAAAGTCAGTCCAACACACGGAATGATCAGATTAACTGTGTAAAACAAAGTCTTGCGTCGCATTTTTATGTTGAATGTTATATCTGAAAAATTACGCCTGAAAAAGAAGATTCAGAGAAAAGTCTGTAATTAATAGTTACATTCAGGTAATACATCACTATATTATATGAATATTTTAATGAAATTTTTGAACTAGTCTTAATAAATGTAGTATACATTTTATGTTGTCTTACCTTATTAGGAATTTTTCATTTGTATTTTAGTCGAATCCCGTTTTGATCAGAAATTATTTTTTTTAAAACACAATATGTATTAGTATAGATCAATTTAATCATTAAAAAATATAGTCATATAATATTAAATATGTAATTTTTAGGTTTTTATATTGGTAAAATATATTTATATATCATACATTATTCCGAGCTTATAAATGTATTATTAATTCATTAACTAATGCAAAAATGAATATAATATAGGTATTTTATTTACCTGTAAACATTTAAAATATGATAATATTATTTTTTATCTATTATTACTCTGCGTCTAGAAAATACTGTGATCTTCTATATACACTTTAATTTCTGTTGATGTTGTCATAATAATGTTAATAAAAAATCACAATGTCGTTATTGATAGCACAGTACCAGTTTTTAAATTTAAATGTATTCAATGCAATTAAGGTTAATAGGCCAATGTTCAAAAATCGTAAACCGCCATAATATAACGACAATAGTTAGTACTTTTGTTTAGACAGCGAAAGTTGTTCTTAATGTTGGATATTTAATCGCTTATTATTCCATAAATGATTAAAAACATGATATTATTTATTATATTCATGAATAATCAGTCTATTCAGCATTTTTATTTTATGACATTTATATTATTGTACATGCAAAAACCTACTAAAATTGATGTTTCTCAAATATGTACCTTGTTGTCTTGGTGCAATCGCTGAATACAATATTACATTTTATCGCGTAGATAATAAGTATTAGGTAATATTAATTAATACGAACGACTTGCCATTACATATGTCATATAAGGATAGCTCATAAAGTCCGAATCATTGTATAAATGTAAACCTACATGCAGCACATATTATGTTGATACATTTACGGTACTCCATAATATGGGTGTGAAATGCATAACACTTAAATAATAAAATATACTGTATTCGTATATTTGACTATATTTATATGATTTGCATGAAAAATTCAATAATATTATACTTCAACTCACCTGTATATGATTCGGAGCAACACGAATAGAATTCTTCATTCCTGATTGCAGGGACTTCGAGTAAATCCCATTCGACGGATAGATAGAATTCGCTTAGATCGATGCCAACGTCCACACGGTTTCTGCCCTGCGATTGGTCGATATGCCTCAAATCTACCTGTACGTTTTAGCAAAAGGTTACAATTAGTCTGACTTGTCTATCACTATTTTAATACACATATCAAAAATGTTAGCATTATTGAGTCCTTACCTGATTTCCGTTGTAGGTCCACGAACCGAACATCATGTAACAATTCTGTTCGTCAAATGGAAAATATAGAACGTTTATCTCGCAGTACGATTTATAGATAGCAGGAGGTGCCCATAATACTTCGCCGGTATACTTGAGCACCGCTTTTGTCATAAGGGTAACTTCGTAATTCCCGTCGGCACTAGTATAAACATAAAATATTTATTATAAAATTTATAAAAAAATATCTAATAATATAATTAATTCTCAGATTTACTGGATTCACGAGGGAAATAATTGAAATTGTTAAACGGCATTCAAATATTTGGGTACACACATTTTTTTTTTTACACTTTTGCACTTCTCTTCCAACTAAAATAGTTATTATTAGAAAAAGTTGCTATCAGTGGATCAATAACGGGCCTAATAGTTATTAAAAAATATAAGTTCAGAATCTATTATACTAAGTATAATAATAATAATTATTATTATTAGTTTAATAAAATTATTGTTTGGTAACAAATTTAGTAGCACTAAAATTAATTTGAATTTTCTTCATAATTTACGCACCTACAATCTACTTTTCAATACAGCTCTATGAAAACAAATCCAAGGTTAAACAAACAATTTAAATAACAAATAAACAAGAGAAAATAAAAATACATATCATATCATATTATATATAAATATAATATTTATTTTATGTATTCCTCTATTATACAGTTCATAAATAAACTTCGATTGAATTTTTATTATAAATATTATTTACTATTTAGAACCACGTAACAAAATTTGTGACATTTAATGTCAACAAAATATTATCTACCCACGATTGGTTTTTCGTTAGGCAACTAAACTCCTCGGTGTGGTCGTTGGCAACAACTAAAACTTGTTTTCGTGATAAATCATGTAACTTAAAATTACGTGTGAAGATTTATCAACGACGATAAATAGTGTCAAGTTATTTTTAGTATATCCTTACAAATAATATAATTATTCTGGTGTTTACAAATTATTTAATAATGTTAAGTGTTAAGTAAACGATTTACTTGTTAAACAAAACTATATCTGGCAACCAAATATGATCCGAAGGTACGTATAACTTATCTAAGCCACCATAGTCTTTGGGATCCCATTTCAAATTGCAATCAAACCATTTCTGTATCAACCACACACTCGTTGTCATTACTTGACTTTTAAGATTCTAAAAAAAAATAAAAATGTGTTGAAATACATGTTAAATTAATTAAAGATATCCATCATCGAATCCATTACCATTTCAGTTAGCTGAGTGAGTTTTAATCCCATCCAAACAGTCAAGTTCTCCGAATGATTTTGGACTGGTCTGATCAGCCGATTATAGTTGCTCAAAAGGTCATCGAACAGATGTTTTTTGTAAGGGTTTCCTTCAAACTTTGTATCTAATTACATTTTAAACTAATTAATAATTCGGATAAATTAATAATATATAGACATAATTATTTTTATCATTGATCGAAAATTAATAATATTATTTCAACAAACAAAAGTCAAATAATTGCCAAACATAATCATTTTAATTAGCACCATTTATTGAGAACAATATTAATATTATGGAAACTAAAAAGTATGAAATGCAAAAACTGTCATTCACCTGAATATCTGGTACCTACAATCGTTAAACCGATAATAATTATTATGATATTTTATTTATTTTAATAATACAGATTTATTTAATATCATATTATAATCGAATAATGTATTAACTCCCTGATTCATAAACGTAATTGTTGAAATTTTAAAGAACGTTCAATGATCAGTTTAACTCGTCCAAAACTGTTATGTATACTGTTTAGTGCAGGGCTTGCAAACGTTATAAATTATAATAAAATTATAATTATAACGTTATACTTGACAAAAAACGATTGAAATATGTAAACTTAATACAACAGAAAACGATAAATATAAATAATTAAATAACACAAAACAAAACATAATGATTAACAAAATATATGATATATCATCAAACAAAACATAACGCAAACGTTATGAATAGTATATCATTAAAAAATTATTGAATTTCCAATTATTTAATAGTTATAAATTACAAAATATATTAAAAATTTTAATTCTGAATAACGATAACTCAAAATGTGTATAACGTTTTAAATGTAAATAACGTATAACAACTTTTTTTTTCAAATGCAAGCCCTGGTTTAGTGAGATGCAAATCTTCAGGGCAAAACGTTTACTAGTTTGTCTCGGTAAAATAAAGTATCTAGTTTCTATAGTCAAAGATTTAAATTACATCTATTCTTTGATTGCAGTATTTACAGTACGTTTTCTGATAATATAACTTTATAATAAGATAAGGTTTCACTATCCCTTCAACATAACAAACGACAATCGATTTTTGCTTGTAGCTAGCTGATAGATATTATTATTAGCTGTAATATATTAAATACATTACGGCATTACGCAACGTTATAAAATTATTGGTTCAACATTATAAATATATTATCAAACTCGTATATATATGTACAAATCTAAACATATGCAAGACATAACACATCAATACCTATACTTTCGGTAAGTCCAACTCTTATATTACAATAAAACGAATTAATATATTAACTAAACTAGGTACAACACACGTGAAATCAATATAATTCTAATGGACGATTTGAATACACAAATTAATAACTTAACTTGAATTACAGAACATAATTTAAACAATTAAAGAATCAAAGTGGTGGATTCAATAATTGAACTTAAAAATTTAAATTATTTAATTTTAAATTCTTTCTACACGGTAGTACATATATATTGGCTCATAAACACAATCGTTAAGTTTTTGCAAATATTATAAACTTCTACATATCAAGCATAATAGAATACAAGTCTTGTTTGCTATACATATAAGTAATATCAATGTTTTACTTACTGTTTGATGCGAAATCACAATAACTGAGTGGTAATAGTAATGGAAGGATAAATAAAATATTCATTTCGACGCTGTTAAAAACTAAAACACCGTTCGGAAAATTCACAACGTATAGAGTGGAAGACTAACTTACATTTCACGTCAGCTGCTCGCACTTTTCGCGCAATGCTAGAAAATCAATAACCACGCCCTCGCGTCTCCAGCTTCCAACGCGTTCCATGAAAAATTCGAACGGATCCGAACAGCCGCACTAAAACCCTCTAAAATTCGTTTACTCCTATACATTTTTGTATTATCAGAATTTTATTCAAATTCCAACAGACAACTATATATTATTATATTAAACATTAAAATTAAATGTATACCATAAATTGAACGAATAATTTTTTTTTTTAAACCGTACATTACATAATTTATAATTACTATACTTGCTATATTTCGTGGCTTATAAAAGTCGATTATCCATAACATTATTCAAATATTTAATAATATTAACACTTAATCACAGTGCCGGCCCAATGGTTTTTGGGCCCGATGAAGAATTTTGCGAGGTCCCATATATATTAATTTATTAATTATTTATAAATATCTATATTTATTTATTTTTTCTTAGGGACTTACTTTATTTTTATATAATTTTGTACCGTCATAGATCGGCATCGACGATAAATAATTTTACAAATCCATTCGTCTAGCTGTACCTACCTATAGCTATCATATTTAATTTGCATACTACTGGGACATTATTATTATGTTTATTTATAGATTAATGTGGTATTCGTATTACATAATTTGTGGGGCCCCCCACAAGCGCGGGACCCGATGCAATCGCACCGCTTGCTCCCCTCCCTAGGATCGGCACTGCTTACCCGCTTTATAATATGCTATTACTGCAGGTTGTATAAAATATAAGTAGATATTATACTATACTGTTGTATTATCTTCTAATCTTATGTAATATCTAAAAAGTACCAATTACCCTAAATAATTGTTAAATGCAGTATAATATTATGTAATCTTCGTAGATAATGTTGAAGTTATAAACTTTAAAATTAATTATAACTATAGACAGTAAGTAGAGTTACTTTTATATAATAAGTAAGCAGAATATTTTTTTAGTCAAAAAATATATTACTATTTGTTATTAAAATAGTCCTTACAAATAGTCTTAAGATAAATCATTATTTAAATAAAAATAAAATAGATTAGACAAAATATTTTATTTTTATATTTTAGTAATATATACATAGATAAATGTCTATACTAAACTCAATTGTTATAGTACAAATTATTATAAGTTATTATAATATCTAATATCTATTCTGTGGTACAATACTCTTACTATGGCCACAATGCGCAACCATTTGTAATGTCAATAGTTTTTAGAAAACCTGATATACCTGAAATACCGGTGCAATGAAAAATTGAAAATTTTAAATAAATGTACAAGTTTTAAAATGTATTACTGCATTAAATATTGCAGCAAACAATTCAGAATCTTGTTTTTATAATAGTCGACTTAAAGCACTTTAATAAACCAAACTTTCAATGCCTTACCGTCACCTTCATGATTATTTACGGTTTATTGTGTTCATGTTATATATCTATACTGACACGCTGTATAGTATATTCACATGTTTGTAAATTCAACGTATATAAAAAAATAATTTTATATTACTGTAATTATTTTATATTAATTATTATTTATTAACAATAACTTAAAATTATTATATGTAAATATTAAAAATTCAAAACACGTACCGTATAGTGCACAAGTAAGTATTAAGTAGGCACATGATAGGTACATAATATATTATAATTCAAAAAAGGTAAAATAAAAAATTATATACATATATAAATTTAAATATTTAATAAAATACAATTGTTGAATCAAGCCACATGTAGGTATAAATAAATAATACATAATAGTTTAATCATGGTAAAAATGTAAAAGTGATGTATCCGTGACAGTGATTTACGGTTTGGCAAAAACTATGTACCTATCTGCTCAGGTCGAAAACCTGCGACTTCTTTAGTATGCAATTTACAGCTCTTTGGAATATGAATTAATATCGAGACCTATAAAATATTACTTAAAATTCAATTAAATTATAATAAAATAAAGTTTTTTTGAATCTAAAACTTATTATTGTTTTTAATGTCTACCAATTCCCGAAGAAACTATGAAGTGAAATATATCAGTTATATTCTGTACCATGGTATGTTTTTTTTTATCATAATCACTTTGATAATCATGATTTTACAATTATCTGAAAAAATGACTTATTTACACGAAAAAGTTCCGGACCCATGCTATAGATAATATTGAAATATTAAATATCCTAGATAGTAAAAACATACAGAGTGATTCACCAAATACCTATGCTCATTCACCTTTTGACTTTTATTCTTTAATAATGTATTTATTTAAATCCTAATTTTCAGAATTTTTAAATCACTTAAAGACTATATTTTTAACTAATTATTTTTTTCTAGTTCATTGATAGATTGCCAAAGTAAATAATTAGTTTTGTGAAATTGATTAATGCCAAAAATGTATTATATTAGTCATTATTCATTAATATTGTTGGATAATATTTTTTTGTCCTTGGTAAATCACCATGAAAACAATCAATATAATTCCAAATATCTATAAAAAATAATGGTATTTAAAGACTACCTCTTATATGTACAAATTTTCAATCCACGATGTTTCGAAGTAACTTACTAGAGGAGATAACTTTACTTCACTTTTTTACGTAATACTCGGTATGACGCTGTACGCTTTCTATTATGGGTTGCAATAAATTCTGTCACAGTATTAATTTATGTGTAAAGTGCAGCCCAAGTATCTTTTATATATAAATATATATATATTTATAAGTTAACTATATATTTTTTAATCATCCGTAATGCCGTCTTTTGATGCAGTTTCAAAAAATCAGTATATTCTTTTTCATTGTTTAGATCAAAGACTGATAATAATATAAATTAACAATAGCTCCCTCCATACGTACAATTTCATTGAATTTGTATATATGTATTATGAGTGAAGATTCTGTACAAACAATTATTGCACGATTTTGTATAATATACCATGTAGCGCATATAATTTTATGTGTATCAAATAAAAAACTTATTTGTACAGAGTTATCTCCGATTTGTATAAGTGCCAATTTTTTTCTGGAAAAATAAACAAGATAAAAGCAAACAATAGATTAGGGTAGACTGCTTTATATAAATGTCGTATAATATTATGTAACGCTAGAAAATATAACAATGACTATTTATATACTAACTGTATAAGTAAGTCTAATTACAAGGTTTTAAAGAATTCTTCTCTCCAACGTGTACTCTTATAATATATAGGCTGTTGATTATTACACTTCTATACTACTTTTACAACTAATGTAAATAATAACCATTATTATGATAGATACATACATTAATATCTTTATATCAACCCGTATAATATAAAAGTATGTAAATGTTATTTAGTTGTCTTACAATTTAACTTTGCAATATTCTATTTTCTAAACTATTTCGACCATTTTTTGTTATGTGCGTATTGGTCCGTATTCCGTTTATGTTTATAATACATAAATAGCTGTTCAGTTTTAAGCGAACGAACGCAATCATTTAAATAATATAATTATTTAAATTTTTGTAATAGATACTTTTTTTTCAACATTTTTAAACGTTTTCGTCACTTAAAGCTTTTTGCACACATTTTATGTATTATTTTTTTTTATTTACGTCTTAGAAATATTTTATACGATCTATACTTAAGTAACACTTATGACTTAATTAATAATAAGTTTAATTTAAAATATTTTACACTTCAACATCTGAGAAATTGTTGCTTTTAATATGTATAAGTATTTACAAATTACAGTACATAGTGCGTTTTAATCTGACTTTTTTAAGATTTTAATACATTTACGAGTATAAGGATATTTAGTGCATTTTTTGAGATTTAAAGTTATTATTTTTTAAGTATATTTGTAATGAATTAAATTCACAGTCCCACTTATGAATAATTATATAATTAATAATGGATTTTAAATCAAACTTCCGGTATGGGTACCTAATACTTATTTTTATATGTTCATCATTTTAGATTCTAATCGGACTGATGGATGTGTTATTGATTTTAGAATAATGCGAGGTTTTGCATACTTACGTATATGTACAAAATCCCGCTTTCAATTATTTCCAAACATCGCATGTACCGAATTATTGCATCAATATAAATAGCAAAAATCAATTTAAAAACTAAAATATAATAAATAATTAAAAATCATAATAATTGACAGTATACCAATATTGATAATTGTCAAAATAAAAATTAAATTATCATTTAAGAAGATTTAATTTTGAACATTATTTCAGCAGGGCGCAGGCCAATTAGTACTATTTTAAAAGTATGTTACATCATTATTTTTTATTGTTTTAATTAAAATGTATTTCCGATACAAAAACTAACATATATTGCTGCTATTGATAACTATATGTATACTATATAGTGTTGAAATATACAATATTCATTTTTGTGACACTGTTTATTATTATAAATAAAACCTACCAACGTCGAATAACATAATATTCTGTTAAAAAAGTATTAGGCATACGTTTATCTAAAAATATATTAACGAATACCATACTATACCTAAGATCATACAGAATATATTATGTCTGACGTCAAAATCCAAAAACCGTCCGATGCTGAGGGCTCGGTGATTCTGTTGGTTTCAGCCAAACCACTTGCAATGGTCAGTCCGAAAAAGAATGCTGCAATTTTTCCTGGTTGATCATAAGGCAATATAGATCAATGCCTAATATTGCAGTGACATTTGGTGTGAGTGATGCATTAGAGATCCGATCATTGTCTTAGTCGTCGATATGGAGGGTTTGTGCGGGCCCGGCCAAAATAACCGTAGCAATGGGCGACTTCATCGATACATTAAGAAAATTATAGAGTTCAATGCCGAACATTGACATGACACTTGATGCAAACGAAACAACCGAATTTGAGTGCATTCCGTTGCAAGTTTTGGTTGAGAT